CTCTGCTCTCTCTCTCTCTCCCAATTCCTGGCCTACCGAATATCTCGAAAAAGGGGGGACCGCAAAAGCGAGAAAGAAGATGAGCGACGGAGTGTTGATTGATGTTTTGTTTGGTTGATGCATCAAGCTTGGATGGCGACTCTCTGGCGAGCGCGAATCGGCCCCCCTGGCTCCAGGAACTGATCTGGCACTACACCCGGATCGTGGCTGTTAACCTTTGGCCTGTACGAGAGTTCTCGTCGCCCGCATAGAGGATCCACCGCTCGCTACAGAGCTCGGCCGCAGGCAATGAGGTGAGCGCAGCATGCCGCGCCGCGAAACGAGCAGCTGTCGCGCGGATCGGCCCGTACTCGGAGGTGCGGTCGCTGGAGGTGACGTTGATTGCTGCTGCGGCGGCGGCGGCTGCATACAGGTATACTTGCACTTTGTGTATGCCAGATGTGTTCGGCGCGAACCCGGCAGCCTGTAGAAGCGCCCGTCGCAGACACATCGGTCATCGCCAAGAGAATTCGGTGCTGCGCAATCTGCCCGCGATCGGTATAGGTTTGTGTTCCCGCGTATCGGTGCTCACAGAATTCACAGCGTGACGTAGACATGCGACGGTCTTTGGCCAATGTCTTCACCGCCTTTAAGAGAGACTTTAACCCAAGTGCTTACCTGAAGCGTGAAGGAAACCCCTCTCTACGTTGGCTGGAATTCTCATGCGCTGTATGAATGTGTTGGAGAGAGATTTTTAGCAATACCAAACCACTCTAACACTCACACGTCATTTGGGGCCTGGAGCCCTGTTCACGCGCGCGCGAGACGTGCAGACAGGATTGCCAGGTGAGAGCGAATGGCGCGGTTCACGCCTCGCACAACAGAGAGAGAGATGCGCTCTGCATGGTGGGACATAAAAGAGAGCGAGTACTTGGGCGAGTAGGCCGTGCGGTCAACGCTGCCGCGCGCGACCTTGCGCGCGAGGCGGCGCAGCTTGAGAACGGCGGTGGGTGGGCGCAAAGCCGCCGCCGAACGTCTCGTGGAGCAGCAGGTTGAAGTTGTTGCGCTTGACAAAGATCGCGTCGTGGTAGAAACCGCGATGCGCCTTGACGTAGCCGTGGCCGGTCTTGTGGGAGAAGGGTTGGCCGGGCTGCCCGCGCGCCTTGCAGCCCATGTTCAGGCGGCGGGCCTTCTCCTCGGTGTTGCCGAAGGCGTAGGAGTGGCCAACGGAGGCGGGTGTGCCGCCACTCGAGGCGTTGCCAACGCCCGTCGAGGAGGTCTTGAGGAGGGGCGTCCAGAGCTTGATTTCATTCACTTCATCGCACCCCCCCGGTCCCGCATGGGGTTCTGCGAGGTCAGTCTTGTACCCCTCGTTGTACTGCCGGGTGAGCTCTGGTTTCTCCTTGTCACCGTGCACGACCGGCGCGTTGGCCGGGGCGCGCATCGCGTCCGCCCAGGCGGCGAGGACGCCGTCGTGGGGCCGCCGGTGGTGGGCCTTGGCGGCTGCATCCTGGCTTGCAGGGCGCTGCTTTATGGCGGATCTCCTTGATGCCGCGGAGGATGATGCCGGCGCCGAGGTGCCCGCGGCGGCCGGGTAGCGAAGCGATCAAACCACATGGCGGTCAGCAACATCGAGTGGAAGGACGTGGCGACGGTCGTCGAGCCAGCCGTGGCCAAGAGTGTCTCAACCCCGGCCTGCGCGAGGTCGCAGAGGAGGACTTGACGGAGGAGGACCGCACCTTCTTTGTCGTCCGCAAACGCCCCGAGGGAAACTCAGGCGTCTTTGTTTGCAGTAAGCCAGTAAGTAACAAAGTAAGTATGAGAGGCTTCACAGATTCTGGGCCACTGACCCGAGTCTCCAAGTGTCTGAGAGCTGGTCTGGGGCAAAATCTGAGGCAAAATCGAGGAAACCGGCCAAATACCGGGTATTTTCCAGGTATAGGAATTCACTATTGTGATGTTAGAGGTGGGTTAAGAGGGAGATTCGCGCGAGCTGCGGGACCGCCGGGAAACGGCGGGCGGGTGATTGCGACTCGCCGCTTTTGGCGACTTTTGGCGACTTGTGGGACGCGCGATCGAGAATTCCTTACCGGGGGAGGTATACCGGCAAAACACCGGGTATTTTGGGCCCAAACCAGCCTCAGACTCGGCTCAGAGCCAAAACATTGACGATGAACCAGAAACGAACCACGAGAAGAAGAATTACATTTTGCCAGCTTTTGATGGCGACTCACTTCTGGATGGCGACTCTCTTTTGGCAGTTGGTCCTGGCGGCCGCCGTCGGTGCAGCGCCGCCCATTTCGCCGCCGCCGTCGCCGCCGCCCTACCCACCCAACAAGGCGCCCACGCCGCCGCCGTCGCCGCCGCGGTCGCCTCCTCTGTTGCCGTCGCCGTCGCCGCCGCCGCCGCCGCCGCCGCCGCCGCCCTCGCCGCCGTCGCCGCCGTCGCCTTCTCCGCCGCCGCCCTCTCCGCCGCCCTCGCCGCCCTCGCCTCCACATCCACCCTCTCCGCCGCCCCCGCCTCCGCCGCCGCCCGTCGCGCCTCCTCCACCTCCTCGTTCGCCGTCGCCGCCGTCGCCGCCCCACCCGCCCTCCTCACCTCCGCTGCCGTCGCCGCCGCCGTCGCCGCCGCCGTCGCCGTCGCCGCCGCCGTCGCCGCCGCCGTCGCCGCCGTCGCCGCCGTCGCCGCCGCCGCCGCCGCTGCGGCCGCCGTCGCCGCCGTCGCCGCCGCTGCGGCCGCCGATGGTGAAGTACGAGCAAGAAGGGAGGGAGGTCCCAGCGACTTGCCTCGACGAGTTACTCGTCGACCCCGATAGTGACGAGTGCGCCATGGCCACTCGCCCGCCGGTATAGCGCCATATCCCAGCCACGCGCACGACATCCTCCCCCCCTCACCCCCCTCGCAGATACAAGAAATGCGGCCCGAACGGACAGCGGCTCCTCCCGATCGGGCTGACGGTGGCGTTTTGCAGAGCGGTGCGAGCTCCCCACCCATCTACCCACCGCACCGCTCCCTCCCGCTCTCCCCCTCCCGCTCGTTCCCGCTCAACCCCCCCCCCCCCAAAAAAAAAAAACCTCCTTTTTCTGGGGAAAGAGGGAAAAAAACCCCGGGGAAGCCCCCCCCCCCCCCCCCCCCGGGGGGGGGGGGAAAAAAAAACCCCCCCCCCCCCCCCCCCGCCGCGCGCTCCCCACAACACACCGCCTCCCCCCTCTGCCTCTGCTTACTCGGTGCCGCGCACCGCGCGCCGCAGGCGGCGTGGGGAGCTCCTGGCCCCCACCCAAAGATTTATTCCTCGACACAATCAGCACGAGCACTTGCGGCCGCAACGACGGCAACGGGCCTTCGAAGTGGACCCCCGATGGAGACGGCCTCGTGCTTGTGCTCTAGATCGAACACGCTTCGGAGAGCCCGCAGTAGCACCCGGGGCCTGTGGCGGCGAGAGGGAGGGGCGGGGAGCTACAGTCGCCCTCCTCTCACACCCCTGCTCCCCACCCCCGCAGTGGCGCGACAGCTGCTTCATCTATCAGTGGAACGCGAGCAAGGGCAACGACTTCCCGGACAAGGAGAATTGCCGCAAGCCGTGCATCAAGACGGAGTCTGACGACATGGTGTGCACCCAGGGCGTCCAGGTAGTGAAGCCGTACGACCCGGATTGCAATCCGAAAAAGGAGGACTGCGGGGCACACCCGCCCGACAGCACCTACGACTTGCGCTTCGACGTGCACGACTGCAGTAGCACCGGCGGGCCCGGCCTCAACCTCAACCTCTCGTACACCGGCCCCGACGGGCTGCACCCGCTGATTGGGAACGTGGTGGGGCCGGACGGGTTCGTCGAGGGGCCGTACGCCCCCGGGGGCGGTCGTCCCGCCGTCCTCGCCGAAACGCCCTACGCGCCGAACGATGCGTGGCCGCTGCCGATCCAGGGGCTGCCCGTCGGCGGCGGCGAACCGCTTGACGATACGAATCGGTACAAGATGCAGACGGCCCGAGCGTCCTGCGGCCGCTGCAAGAGGATCTACGAGAGCTGCCAGGACGCGACCAAGCGGGCTGCCCGCGCAGAGGAGCTGAACGTGGCTCTTCCCCAAAACTGGACCGAGTCCGAGTGCTGGCTGAAGGAAGTCCAGCCGTGTCTCTTCCCAGACCAGACCCAGCCGTGCCAGGCCGACGAGAAGCAGCGGATGCGGTACACCGGCATCGGCCAACGTGTGCCCGCAAGCCCCCCTCTCGCCCCTCTCACCCCCCTCTTGCCCCTCCCGCCCCCCACCCCACAACTCCCAACACATACAACCACACACACCAAAGGAGACCCCCCGTTGGCTTGGTGATGCCCCTCGCCTCGCCTCGTCCGCAGGCTCTATCGGCTTCGAAGAGGGCGCCGCACGGCTGTAGGACCAGAGATGATAGCACCGTCACCTGCAAGAGGAGAGCGGGGAGCGGGGAGTCAATTCTCACCCCCATCTCTCCCATAGGCTACTCGCGCTTTGATCTGCTGATCGAGGTTCGAGACGGTGACACTGCCTGTGGTGCTCTCTCCCGGCGCCCCCCCCCCCCCTCTCCCCTTGACTCGCCGCCTCTGGAACGTAGATTCTCCGAAGTACAAGACGTGGAGGCACGACCGCTCGGCAGGCAACGCCTCCCATGCACGCCCCCACTCATCGATGCTGCGGTGGCTCTAGGCCGAGGAACGGCTTTGGCGACGAGCCGTCCCCTTCGACGACGAAAGACTTCGGCGTCATCAACCTGAGAGCCAACAATGCGAGAGCAGAACGGGGGGGGGCGACGAGCGTCGTGGACACAGGCATCATGACTGTGCGAAGCGTCTGTCGTAGGCCGTCGGGCTCACCTTCAAGTTTGTGGAGACGCCGGATACCTTGGAGTCGAGCTCGACCTCCGGCCGGTCCGAGGTGAGCACTTGCGCCCCGGCCCATCCCTCATGACACCTCCCCTTCCCAAACTGCCGCCGCCACCGCTCTGGCTGCTGCTCGCAGATTCCCGTCGAGCTCTTCTCAGAACAAGCGAGGATGTGCTTCTACGACCTCGACGTTGGAGCCAACGAACGTCTCCGGGAGGTGCTTGGGGCGGCCATGGCACGGCCGAGGGGGGGTGGTACTCTTGTGCCCCCACCAGCTCCCCGTGCAACCGCAGGTGGCCACCATCTGCACCAAGGAAAACAAGCAGGGCGGCCCATCACACAGAGAGGCCTCCGCGTCGACGAGCGACGCCGCCTCACCTCATGGTCTGCCGACATTATAGGAGAACGTTCGCGGATCCGGTGGCAGACTTCGGACATGCTGCACTACGACAACGCCTCATCCCTCCCCGAGGGGTCCGTGTGCCCCCAGGGAGCGTACAACCCGAATACCGGCGTTGGGTGCGATCCGTCCACCGGCGTTGGGTGCGATCCGTGCGGCACCGTTGTGGCTCCTTACGCCTACACGGACCTCACCCAAGCCGCGATCGAGGCCGGGTGCAAGTGCTTCGAGAACACAGTCTCCTTCACGCGTACAACTGACGGGCAAGTCCTTCCCCGGGCCTCCTCCGGCGGCCCGCTGGTGCGATTCCGCCCTCGACGCGACCACCATAGAGCAGCCGCGCCACCCCCCCCCCCCCCTTCCCCTCCCCCCCCCCATCAGGTGCCATCCACTCTCGAAGTGCGGTGGTGCCAGCCCGAGTTCAACTCTTCCGGTGTCCTCGTCCCAGCTGCATGTGCGGCTTGCGTCTCGCGGGCACCACTCGCCCTCGCAGCTGTGAGCGCCACGCTCTGGGGCTGTTAGGCTACATCAAGATACCCGGCGACCCGTCGCACGCCATCGAGCCGCAGCTCTACGAGAACAAAGTCGAGGGCGGTGCATTGTTAGTAAGCCCGTTTAGGGTCCCCATCACACCGGACAACCCTCGCGGCCGGGCGTACTCCTACTACAACGAATCGCAAGAGCTCGGGGACGGCTGCGTTCAGTTCATCGCGACGCAACAAGGTCCGTCCGCCGTAATACACGGACGCGCCCCAGCCTCCCCCTCCCGCTTTCCTTACGCGCCCGACGCAGCTCACCGTGTCGATTTGCGGTGCGGTTTCTCCCGCCGCAGGCGTCGGCGGCGACAACCCGTCGTCGAGAACCGACGTCTTCAAGCCCCTCGCAGACCTGTCGGAAAGGGAGCGGTACGACGTGCTTCCAAAGGTTGCGTGCTTCTTCATACCACCGGGTGCGAGCCGCGCCCGATCACCGCGGCGAGCGCACGCCACCCCACGCTCAGGCGCTGTCTGGGGTAGGCGACGACCAGTTCAACGTCGACTACCACGTGAGCAGCGGCAATCCACAGCCTTGTTGCAGGAAAGATCAGCCCGCCTGGTACTGCGAGGAGGGGGCGGTCCAGGATTGCGGCAGGGGATGCTCGTGCGGCGCCTCGGTGACTTTCAACCCACCGGGCTACTTCATGGCCAACAGCGAGGCTGGGAATCTCGCTCCCGGCTGGCGCGTCGAGGCGAACGAAGTAGGGCTCAGCGCAGGCTGGACGGATGAGCAATGCAACAATACGCAAACGAACCAGACCACGTTCACGGAGCGATGCCACTACGTCAACGACGCGACGAACCAGACCGCTTGGTTCAGATGCGACGACAACCCGAGGACGCCAACCGCTCCTGGCGGGCTAAGTGATTGCTTTGAATACGCGGGCCGCAACTTCCTCTTCTCCATCGACAACCCCCCGCCCGAGCCCCGGTTCCGCGAGTGCTGGTGCGTGGCCGCTCCACAGCCCCCCCCCCCCCCCTCCCCCCCCCCCTCCCCTCCCCCCACCCACCCACCCACCCACCCACGGACAGACACACCGACCGACACACCGCGCACCTCGCTCGGATAGGTTCTGCAACGAGATCTCCGACGGCACCTTCGGCATCAAAGATCTGAGCTCCTTCCTGCGGTACGAAGCCTTCTCGGTGCGGGAGGCGGGTCCGCAGTCTCGGGACCCGAAATACCCCGGCACTCCTTTCTTCAGCGGGCTCGTCGGCGCGCGACGCAGCGCGACGCAGCAGCCGCAGCGGCGCGCGGCTCTGAGCAGGTCCCTGCCCCGGTCCAGGCTCGATGAATGAGGGGCTGTACAACATCAACAACGAGGATGGGACGGCCTCCCTCAAGGGTACCACCGACCCAACGCGTGCGTGCGGCGTGGCCGATTGTTGTCCCGATACCACCGCCGACGGGTGCGAAAGCGGCGTGAAGCGCCCGGCCAACCCGTGGCTGCAAGAGGTGCGGCTGCATCTGACCCCGCCGTTCGTTCTCCGAGAGTATCACACGGGCGGCTTGGTCTATAGGTGTGCCTTCCGTGCGGCGGCAATCTCGTTGGTGGCGTGCCCAACCTTGACGCGGACGGCCAGCCCCTTTTGATGCTTCCGGCTTGCCCCGACGGAGCGCACACCCTCGGCAGCGCTCGCGACGGGTGCTTGCCAGGCGCACCCGCCCCTCATATTGTTGGTGCAGCGCTGCCGGCCGCACGAGTCTCGCCCGGTTTGTGCGCGTAGGCACTTGCCTTCCGGGTTGCGTCGAGATCGACGCGACCGAGGACAACATAGTGTTCTCGAACAGAGGCATGTCGACTGGGTTTCGCGACAGCGAGTTCGACAAAAAGCCAGCCACAAGGATGTCGCCCGTCACGGGCGAGATCGAGCCGGTGCTCGCTTGCGTGGGCGGCTGGCCGGCTTGCATCGAGCTCTGCGAGCCCGTGGATTGCACAAAGAATTGCCGTCCGAGCGCCTGCTACTCGGAGGAGTACCGCTGCGTCGACTGCGGCGACTGGGAGGTGCCCATCTTCGAGCTGACCCAGGAGGAGGCGTGCGGGCGGGTGGGGCTCTTCAAGGAGGAGTGCGAGGCCGCCGGCTGCTGCGAGTACGGAGGAGAAAACACGAGCATCGTATTCAACATCCAAGGGCTCGGCTACCCAATCCCCCTCCCCACCGGCTTCGAGGGCACCGTCGGCATCTACAACGGCACCTCGTGCGATGCCGACCCCGGTGACCCCGATGGCATCCCACTGATCGGCAACCTCCTCCCCACTCTCACCGCGCCCATGCCCCCGGGGGAGGCATGGCCAGTCGAGTTCGAGACGTCCGACAGCGCCGATAGCGACTCCCTCCGCACCTCGATCAAAATCGACCTGGGCATGACGCACGAGCAGCTGCTCGGCAAACTGGTGGCTGTGAAACTCAGGCTGAAGGGAACGCAGGACTACCAGATCGCCGCGTGCGCGCCGATGGGGGGCGCTGAGCCGCGAGATCCTAACTCTGAGGCCTTCTCGCGGCTGAGGGCTCGGAGTCTCGGCAATGGCGGCCAGCCGGGCACGCCTCCGGTGTACGGCCAAACCCTCGTGTCATTTGCGTGTCTCCCGAAGGGCCGCGGCGAGGCCTCGTGCCAGTCTGGCAGAGTTGACGACAGCACCGTCCCCAAGAAGGGTCCTTTCGAGGGCCCGCTGCCGGATTTGCAGCAGTGCATAGCGACTCAATCGACGCACCCGTCCCCGCCGCCCAACTCGCCGTTCCCGCCCTCTCTGCCGGATGCGCAACCCAACACGTGCATCGGCGACTCTCTGCTCCTCAAGTGCGGCATCAAGCCGAGCGCGCAGAACGACTCCCTGTTCTACCCGGCCCTGGTTGCCCCGAACGAAAACCCGCCAGGGGGACTGCAAGGCACCACGACCACAGGATACTACGCGGAGCAGTGCTCCGGTCGACTGACTGGGGAGCCCGGGGCGAATTTCGGATTCACGCCACCAAACGGCAGAGGCAGCGCCGGCGAGTGCGCTGCGCCCCGACTCAGATCGTTTAGCTTCACATCCCCACGCAGCGGGGGGTGCCCATGACTCCAGCCGCGCCACCGCGCCGCCACGCCGCCGCATTGTTGCCACCAACGCTCCCCTTGTTCGCAGGCCAAGTGTCGAGACCGGCGAGCCCCTCTGCGCCTTCCACCCGCACATGCCGGAGCCGCAGTACCCGCTCTACAGCGAGGACGCAAACTTTCAGGAGCTGCCGCCGACCACGCCACCGCCGCCGCTGCGGCCGTGTACTGAGCCCTTCGGGTGCGAAGGCGCGGGACCGAACTTCGGATTCAACACGAATGCGCCGGCGCCAAAGGCCACGTGCGACGCGATGCCGATGCCGGTGGGGTTCGTCACGGATTTGCCTGTGTTCATGAATCGCTACATCAACGGCGCGGCCTACCCATCATTCTGTGAGCGCACGCCAGGCCCGGGACGCAGCCTCTCAACGCCCCGGCTGTCGAATGCCACGCAGGGTCGAAGCTTTGCGATCCGTTCGTGTGCGATTGGCGCCCTACGGTGCCCGCTTACAACGGCTCGATGATCCCCAACAAGAACCACTGGCGTTGCGTGCAATGCTCGACCCTCTTCAATGAGATGGTGGAGGAGGCCAAGTCGGCTGTGAACTACTCCGAGCCAGGCTTGAGCGCCACTGCCCGCCCGACCACTACCAACGACCCCGCGCCACACACACGCGGAGTGATCAACGGCCGCCACTCTCACCCCCCGCCCTGTACCCCTCGCGCCGTCGCAGAAGCGCGCGCATTCGCGAAGCAGAATGACTACTGCCGCGGCTCCTCAGACGAGGGCCCCGGTATCGAGCCATGGATGGGTAGGAAGAGCTACTTCGCGGACGACGTCTATACACGGTTGTATCCCATCGAGACCAGCCTCAGCTGGGCAGCTTGCAAGTACTCCCCGGATCCGGCCGTCTGTAGCAATGCCACGACTGCCACGAATGCCACGACCCCGGACCAGAAGTGCGGCGACGGAGTCTACGTCAACTGCGAGTTGGACACGAGCGGTCAATGCGTGCCCAAGCCCAAGGATGCCGTGACGTGCCCGAGGCCAGATCCCTCCCTCGACGACGTGGCGCGCCTCATCCCTAGCGCACCCGCACAGCCGCACTCACACCCCGCCCGCGCGGCGGCACAGCGTCTCTCCGGTCGCACTCCCAGACACACACAAGAGCGGGCAAACTCACACCATCTGGTGCTGTGTGCGCAGGAAAAGGCTTGCAAGGAGGGGGGATGCCGCCTCGAGACGATAGTCCGTGACTGTTATGAAGAATGCAATGCGCCCCCGCCCTCTCCGCCGCCGCCGAGCCCGCCGCCGCCGTCGCCTCCGCCGCCATCCCCGCCCCCGCCGTCGCCGCCGCCGCCATCCCCTCCGCCGCCGTCGCCGCCGCCGCCGTCTCCGCCGCCGCCGTCGCCGCCGCCCTCTCCGCCGCCGCCGAGCCCGCCGCCGCCGTCGCCTCCACCGCCGTCGCCGCCCCCGCCGTCGCCGCCGCCGCCGTCGCCGCCTCCACCCAGGTTTCGCTGACCCGAGATCAGTATCGCACGAGATCACACGAGATTTGCGCGAGCAGCAGCACCGCCACAACCCCCCCTTTACCGTCACCCTTCTCACCCCCCCCTCTCCCCTGCGCAGCGCGCTCGCCGCCGTCGCCGCCGCCTCCTAGCCCGACGTGACCATCGGCTCCGCCGACGACGCCGCCTGCCCCATCGTCGGCGCCGCCGGCGCCTCCTGCGACGGCTACTTCGACAGCTTCTCCAGCATCGACCACTTCTGCGACGACAAGGCCACAGGCTTCTGCGAGCAGGCCGCTGGCTCCTCGTCCGAGA